GAGTTGGTGGATATTGATAAGGATTGTAGTGAACTAAATTGACAATATGTATATCAGTATGGTAAGAAGAAAAAACTGTCTAAAGAATCACGGCTATACATTTATATAGGTGGAGCCTTTGACATCTGTACATTATGTGGAATAATAAGGTGATTTGTTGTATGACAAAAAGATCCCGGATGCTAATATAAAACAGCCCTTCTTACTTTTTAGATTACTTTCATCATCAATTACTCTTCATCTTCATAATCAGACACAATTTGTATATATGTTAATTAGTTTCAAGACTTTCTTTTTCTCATAGATATCTTGACATTTTTAATGTCAAGACGTCTTGATTTTCTTTATTCTTATTAATAATTGTCAAATTCATAAGGATATTGAAAATTTTAACTAACCCTAATTCTAGGGTTTCTTTTTGCTTGTTTTGATGGGTGTTTTTGCACTACTTTCCATCATGGGAACCATTTCTCTACTTTTTTTTCCCCTTCAGCAATGACCTGCATTCATGCCCTACTAAAGAACATGCCTTACCTCTATACCCTTCAGATAGTCCTAAACAGGACCTAAAATATCATTGAAAAAATCCATCCAAGTCAATAATATTATCGATTCTCTTTTTCGTTTGATATATATCCCTTTCCAAGATGAAGAAACAAACTTGCATACGGATGTTTGATGCAATATTAAGGATTTGACTCCATTGCTGCTTGGGGAATTTCATCAGCTGTTAGGTTCAAGTTCAACACACTACTTCAACTTGCACCACACATACATGTATCTGATATCTCTGCAGCAAAGTTTTGCGTGGTCCTCTTTCGCGGCTTAGTGGGATGCTTTGAAGGACATAGGATGCATAGACTGGTCCCCCTACATGTATAATTAATAAGGTAGAACTTCTTAATTAATGCCTGAACGTTGTTATCATTCACATCAATTTTTGACAATTCCCCTTACAAGTATGCAGTGAACACCACAACTTGTCAAATCTCTCATGAATTCCTTTTTGTATCTTCTTCCTAATATTACCACTTTATGGATTAATTACTTAATCTATTAGGACTTTGCTTAATCTTATGTTTCTTTTTGTACTTTAAACACATGATTCTATTTGCTTGTTGAAGACAGAAGTTTTTCATATGCTTAATCTATCACTGTATTTTCATGAATGGATCCTTCATCTACCCTACCCATGTGATGCTTGGATTCAGTCGCTCTCACATAGAGCTAGGCTTTTGTAGTTGTCGATAAAGCATGCCATGCCGCTTTTCAAAATCAGCATGCCATATATATGGTCCACCATTTGAGAATTATAGGCCTTTTGTTTTAGAAGAGAAAAACACACATGAAGTTCCCTGCAGTCATGTTTTGATATCGATATCCTTAGCAGGAGAGGAGAGATTAGGTTTAGGCCCCTAATGAGACTTAATTACTGGAAGAATTAACGATTGTACTCATTTGCGTATGCGTGACGAAGAAATGATAAGACAATGACTAGCACATTTATTTGACAGATGGTGTGATGCGCCACATGGCACCACTTAAGCCTTTGCTTTTTCTCCAATTCTTCCAGGGACCATGTGGTCGGTTGAAATCCAGCATCTTCCTACCTAGCTTTTCTCTAATGGCTAGGGAGGTATTCTTTCAACAACAGTAGCTGGATTCTCTTCGCTGCGACATATACTGAAGCAAATTTCACTCTTGGATTCAACATATGTATATGTAAGCTGATTATCGGTTTGTAGAAGCCAACTTTTTAGATGGTTCATGCTTAACATTTGAACATTATTTCATGTGTACGTAAGTGATTAAGTTTCATTTCATTCTAATTAATTTCTTGATGATTATTTCTCCATTTGTTCCAATTCTTCTTTCAAATTTTGAGTATTATGTTTCAGATCGATCAGCTTCAAATGAATCGTCCATTAATTAACCCTTTTTTTTCCTTTAGAAATGAATCAACCATGCGTGTAAATTTGAAAGTTAGGGTTTTAATCAAACTAATCCAATCTTACTGCTACCTATATATATATATATATATATATATATATCTGTGAGTTCTTCTAAATCATTGTTTTTTTCACATATCCCTCATCTTTCGGCAGAGAGAAACACTTTTTTTGTGTATGGTCCCTTCAAATAATTTCAACTTTACATTGCTTTTGTCTGTGATTTTTCTTCTTTTTCTTTAATAAGTCAAGATCATATTTAATTCATAATTAGGACTGTTCATTGTATTGTACCATATTAATTTACCTTTTTAGATGCAAATATATTAGTTTTATATTTGTTATTCTTCTTGTTAATTTCTTTATCTGTTTTCTTTTCATGCATTACAAAGCAGACTGTCAGAAACTACATGAGTACCTGCTTTCAGCAGCAAAAGTTTGTTGTCAATGGCAAATTGAAGGAAAAATAAGAGTAAGCAGCAGCTGAAGGGATTAGTAACTTCTCTACTCTTGCTTATTTCATATATGTGCCAATAATGAGAGGCACAAGATGAATATTGCAAGTTCAAAGGAAGCAGCAGATTCTCCCTTAGGGCAAGAAGGGATTACAAATGATGCTCATAAGAGTGGCAAAGGTGCTGCTTCTTCGAGCTCATCACCATGGTTAAGGTTGAAGGATCCTCGAGTAGTTCGTGTTTCTCGCGCATTGGGGGGAAAAGACAGGCATAGCAAGGTCTGCACCATAAGAGGATTGAGAGACCGGCGAGTAAGGCTTTCAGTACCCGCAGCTATTCAGTTGTATGATCTTCAAGATAGGCTTGGGCTCAATCAACCAAGCAAGGTTGTTGATTGGTTGCTTAATGCAGCTAAGCATGAAATTGATGAACTTCCTCCACTCCCAATATCCTTGGGGAACTTTGGCCTAAATCATCAAATGATGCTAACTTCTCAAGAAGCCAGTGCCTCACAATCTAACAAAGAAGGGTTTAAAAGAAATAGCATCAATTGGGAAAATCCGGCTGGAGGGTTGTCAAGGTCGAGTTTATGGAGTTCTGATGCATTTTGGAGGGCTGAATCCAAAGAAGTTGAAAGGGAAGCAACCAACGAAGAGGAGAAACAAGAAAGCAGTAGTAATACTACTCATTCTTCTTCCGTTCCAGCTTTATTAAATAATGCAGCTGCGCCTTACAGTTCTTTCTATCATTTTGAACCTTCAAATTATCCTTTCCCACACTTAGGAAGTCATGGATTTGCATCACAAGCAGAAGATCATCACCTCCAAAGCTTTAATAATGTTGTACCGCTTCCTTCATCTACATTATCTCTGGTATGTCCTCCGCCGGCTGGGACAACTCAATCATTCTTTCCTAATTCCCAATCTTCAGCCCCTCTTGAGATTGATCCTAGACAAATCAATCACCATTTCCAAATGTTGAGCTCGGGTTTGGAACATCCCTTACCAAACCCCCTTAACCCACCTGCATTATACTCCATAAGGCACCAATCTAGCACCACACCCTTCTCTTTGAGTATGAGTATTCCTAGGCCTCCCCATTCCCACAGCAACAGTGGAAACCATCCAGATGGAAAGGAACAGGAATTCCCTTCTAAATAATTAACATGATGAAAGGATATTGCATCCACTCAGCCTCGCTTAAAGAAGATTATGAAAGGTACTGCTTGAATTAATTAATTCATGGTATTCATACTTTTTTAATATATATGTATCATTATAGTTTCTAAACGTTGATAATTTTTTTTTTATCAGAAAGTTTCTAAAGATTTCATGTTTGATTCTATCATAATTTTGTTTGAGTGTGTAATTGTCTAATAGTTGGAATGATTTAAACTTTGGTAGTACCAGTATATAGTAAATATTTTGGTATATCTCTCTTACAATTTCGTAAAATTATAAGTTTTCTCCTTTTCTCTGTGAAAACCCTAACTAGACAGAACCTCAAAAAAGTGTCTGTTGTTATCACAAACAACTAAACAGACATAGAAGTATAGACTTAACCCAAGGTAATACTTCAGTGATTGCTTTGAAACAGCTGTGGAAAAGAAATTAGGAAAAATCATACTTTACATATTCTTTTGGTCAGTAATTAGTTGTAAGAAGATGGAGGATCAGAGGGCACAGTGGCAGCTTTACACCAGATCCAACATGATTACTGGTTTTGATCAGAAAAGGGTTAAAGGCCCAACCAGAAGTTTCCTCAAAGGAAAAAAGATAGTCTGTGGTCCTTACAGAGACAATTTAGGAGATACAGAAAGAAAGAATGCTCAATATAGGGCTTGGAAATGATTCTTCCAAACTCATTACTTTGGTTTAGAAAGTCGTTGTCCACCTTGCACAGCAACATGAGTGATCTTATAATTAGCATTTCGGGTTTCAAATGGAAGAAACAGACACTGTCCAGCTTTGATGTATCGAGATGGTACAAACTCATTTGATACCCCATCCGCTAAATAAGAAAAAACAAATAGTCACAAGTGATATCTTGAATAAATGGACCAACACGAGATAAACACATATCCTTGGATTGTTAATTAAAGATTTACTTTCATCAATACCCTTCCTCCCGTTTAAATTCTATTATAGTAGATGACTTCTTTTTTTTTTTTTGGGGGGGTTGTGTATTTGAGTAACTTTAAATATATTGATAGAGTAAATATTTTTCATAATGGAAAAACATGTTTATCAGTTGTCTTTAAAAAAATTATATAGAAAAACATATTAAAATTACATTACTTTCATAAAATTTTATTGAAAAAATTAAAATACTGTAGTATTAAAAGCAAAAATAAGTTTGTTTTAAATTTTTTTATAGTAATTTATTAAAATGGGATTGTTTTAAGTGTTTTCTTGTTTAACATTTTTTGCATATCCTATTGAGAAACACTAATCACTTTGGTTATTTATGAAATTTACTTCTTCTGGAGGTGGAGGGTTCTATTTATATTAGTTATTAGTAATTAACAAAATCAATAAATTTTCCTTTTTTTTATTAATTAAATTTTCCTTCTTTACCTTAAAGACAAAGAAAAGCAAGATAGGGCCTATAAAAGGGCCAAGGAGCCCAACCCGCCCAACCCTTCTACAGATAATTATGTGGACTTTGGAGAATCCATTGTCGTCTCTTAAAAAAGCCCAGTCCAAAAATATTTTTCGTCGTCCCTCGACTGGTCCACGTGTCAACAACAAGAGATCAAAGAATCTTTGTAAAGCACCCGCAGGTTACTCTAGCATCTCCGGTCTCCCCCAAACAATCGGCAAAAACCTACCTTTAGCCCTTTACCTTAATAAGTTTATAGGTTTTAGCCCCTCATCTTATACTATGACATTTTTAGCCCATCATCTATACAAATTAAAGAAAATAAACCTTATTTAACATCAAGTTATAACGTTTTATTAGTTTTATTAGTTAATTGGTAATTATATTAATTGATTATTAATTTTATTAACTGACTGTTAACTTTGTTAACAAAGTATTAGTATCTTATTAATAAAATTAACAAATAAAATTGAATTTAAATTTCATATTTTTAATAATGGAATGTTAATATTTAATTAATAGAATTAATAATCAATTAACAAAATTAATAGTCAGTTAATAAAACTAATAATCAACTAACAAAATATTAAATAAGGGTTATTTTTTAAAATTTGTATAGGTAAGGGGTTAAAACCTATAAATTTATTAAGTTAAAGGGCTAAACGTAGGTATTTGCCCAAACAATCTCCCCTCTTCCTTCCCCCAAACCTCTGCTTCGTCTATAAAAAGTCATGTTTCTTCCTACCATTCTCTCCAGTTCTTGTGATCCAGAAGGTTTAATCAGGGTTTAAACCAGCTCCAATCTTCATCTTCAACCTCAAGTTTTGCGAATAAGAAACCCTAAATCTTCTTCACAACCCTGATTGTTGTTCTTGTTTTTCTTTTTGATTTGTTCCTCCGTTTAGGGTTTTCGATTTCCTTTTCGAAGAGCAATTTCGTTTTCTTGTTCTTCGTCAGATGCTTGAATTGATTGAAAGTTTCATAGGATTCCCTGGTAAGGATCTCGGTTTGTTCAGCTGCATTGTATTGCTGCTCTCTAATTGTAGTAATTTGAATTCCTCTGTATTTTGTGTTCCAAATTTGAATTCTAGGGTTTGCCTTTGATTTTGCTCTGTTTCGACATATTGAGAAAATGGGGGAAAACAGAAGGAAGCTGGTCTTGGAGTGTTTTTGTTTCGTCATGTTGACTGATAAATAGTATAGATTCTATAGAACTAGAACTGTTAAAACCGGTGTAGTAAATTTTTATGTTAGTCTTGAGTGGGTTTTAGCAAAGTATGTTTCTAATTTCAAGATCTGGTTTTTGCTTTGTTTTGCATCTCAGTAGCTGAAGACTACTTTGCTGATGTATCATTAATTTGAATGCAACAATGGTTTATTGGATTTTTCATATGAGGTGAAGTGATATGAGTATTGAATATGAGCGATGGAGGTGGGGAGAATGGGAGAAAGCATGACCAACCACACCCTAAGAGAAAATTTGGTGGAAATGATTTTGTCCTTGCCATTTCAAAGATTGCTGTAGCACAAATATGTGAGAATGTGGGGTTTCAGACTTTTCAGCAGTCTGCTCTGGAAGCACTATCTGACATTGCCGTGAGGTACATAGAAAATATAGGAAAGTCTGCACTTTTCCATGCAAGTTTAGCGGGTAGAGCAGAGGGTAATGTGTTTGACATTATTCAAGGGTTGGAAGAGTTGGGATCTGGTCTGGGGTTTGCAGGTGCTTCTGATGTTGATCATTGTCTTGCCAATTCTGGCATTGTACGGGAAATTATCCAGTATGTTGCTGATTCTGAGGATATCCCATTTGCCCATTCTCTTCCTCATTTTCCAGTTGTCAAAAACTGTAAGCCAGCCCCAAGTTTTCTTCAAACAGGAGCAGAGCCTCCTGGTGAGCATGTCCCGCCTTGGCTGCCTACCTTCCCTGATCCAGAGACTTATGCTCAGTTGTCCTTGGGGAATGAGAAAACAACTGTTTCTAACATGGAGAGTGTTGAACCAGCTAAGCACAAAACGAGGACAGATAGATCTTTGTTGAATTTGCAGCAGCGTTTTGCTTGCGATGGATTTGAAGGACCTTCCTCAGGTGATGGTGGAGATGCTGTTAGAGCAAGGAAGGCGGTAGAGAGCAATCCTTATCTTGCTGCACCTCTGCATTTTGGGGAGAAGGAAGTGTCTCCTGTTGCTCTTCCTGCTAAACTTTCAAATGAAGGTATTGTGAGAAATATTGTTGTGGAAAATAATCATGCTGTAGGAAATCCTGTTTCAGTGCTGGAGACATTTGCTCCTGCTATTGAAGCGATGAATAGCAGGAAATGTGATTCTGAGGATGGGCTGAATACAGCACTTCTTAATCAGAGGCCTAGTGTGCATTTTAAGATTGGCATTGGAAAGAAGTCCTTAGGTGCAGAACTAGATTTGAGCTTGCAAAGAAATGGTAGTGAGAAAATTTCTCCTTGGTTTGGAAATGATAATGAGAAGGATGACAAGAAAAGGAGGGCGGAATGTATTCTGAAAGGGTCTATAGAGAACGCAGGGGAACTGGCTTAGTTGTAAGATAGGTTTGTTTGATCATCATTTGTATACTTTCTAGGAAACTGACTGGCAGGAGATGCTGGCTGCAGGATTGTCAAGGTCGGTGGTGTAGTCTTCTCTGTATATGGCCACCCCCTAGAGTGGATAATGCAAATGCAAACTTCCACAGGGAAGTATCCTGTTAAATGGGTTCTTTGAGGTATGTGCATGTCATTGCGATGATAGCCGCTGTTCTGTGGATGATTCTTTTTAAATGAAATTCTTGTTTCCTATTTTATGATGTTAAAGTGATGGATGCATGGATTTCTCTAGTTTTGGTACAGTATGGTCTTTTTCTGTCCATATGTATACTATGCTCACTTGTTGAAGCTCTGTACCATGTTGTATTATTTCTGGTTATAAATGAAGGCAGGTCAATTTTTCATTATTGTTGACTCTTCGTTATGTAATGAGAGTGAGATTGGAGTCCAGGATTGGGGGATTGAACATCACGCAAACATATCAATCCATTGTAGTCAACCACAACTGCTTAAACTTATTCTTTAATCGACCTTACAAATGCATCTATGCTGGAGTAAAGACTTTGAGAAGGTAAGGCTAGATAGTATCTACATTGGCTGCAATCTTACATGTACTATTAGCTAAAGCTTAATTTTTACCCAAGGTTTATTGGGACTGTCACTATACCTTGAAAGAATTTTGAGAAAGAAAAGAAACAGGAACTGAAAGCTGAAACAAACAATCTGAAAGCTTCCTCTCTTTTCTGAGATGTTTAGATATTTTAGAAACTAGGAGGAAGTTGTCTGCAATTCCTGTGAGGCCGCTCTCACAGATTTGCTGCTACACCTCTAACAACCTCAGTTATCAAGTCTTTAAAGATCAACCGCTCAAGATGTAACACTACCCATGGAATTTCACTGTGAAAAACTGTCCATTCAACTGATTGATGCATCAAATCTCCCAATAAGATGCCTTTCAGACCATCAGACTCCTCGTTTGTGATGCAATATGAGTTGTTGGCATATAGGCAATCGATTTCTGTACATAAATCTCGCAGAAGCTGCCGTCCTCCTAGTCTTCTGCCTGCCAGCTTATTTGGCGAGAGCCACTCTCTGTAAAAACCTTCTTTTGGCAATTTGCTGGCCAGAATGTCATTAACAGCATCAAATATAAGTTTCCTATGGTCTTTCTGAATGGCTTCTGACTCTTTGATCCTTGGACCTTTTCTTTTGTCATTTGCAAGCCCAATGGTTGCCTTGGTCTGTTCTAAGGCCAGGAATAAGTTTGGGTTGATTGGGTGACCTGATGGATGAAACTGAAATGTAATCAAGCTAGATTCAAGTTCCCTGTGGATATTTGATGCTAGTAATATTTCTGAGATGTATTTGTGGTCTGGGTTTCTCCTGTTGTAGTATGGTAAGATTTCCTTGATGATGGATTCCTCCTTGGCGGACTCCATGTGCATGCCTTTTTGAAACAAATGCTGGATGTTTTCTACCTTCCTATAATCATGCTTCTTCCTGGGGCTTCTGCAGTCAGGTAAGTCTTTTGAATTCATGGAACTCCGCTGTGTTTCATCTGGATTTAGGCACCCATCATCTGAAATGCAAATAGATCTCAGTGTATGAAGATGTTGGTCTCTACTTTCCCCGATGAATACACTTAAATGATTAAATTAATTGAGTTTCAACGGAATGCATCCAAAGGATAAAAGCAGAAGGAGCTTCACCTTTGAAGGCATTCGATATCTTCTTCACAGGAGATGGTGATTCGTCTCCATGAAATGTTGCATCAAGAACAGAGACAGGACTTGGTTGTTCTAGCACAACTTTCAGAGGCTCTGCTGTTGACCCGTCGTCAATTAACCTCACCGCTGGATTCTAAATTAGAAATGGAAACTTTGTAAGGAGATAGTCAAAATACATTATACATATGAACAAGTTCAAAGACTTACATTGCACTTCTCATTCTGTTGCTGAAAGAAGTTGATGGTTGTCTTGCTAGATTTGTTAGCATTTGTGACTTCATGGTCAACAGTTGAGGAGGCCAAGCTCATATTGGTTTCTGATTGTACTGAACTACTGATTTCATTCACTTGATCATCATATTGCTGCAAATTGGGGGATTTATGTAGGGTTTTCTGATATGGTGTGCTTGATTCTAACTGTTGTCTGCTTGGGAGCCTCCTTGGTGTGGTCTGCTCTGATCTTGTGGCAGTGGAGTGAAACTGCTTCTCCATCTCCAGCCTCTTCTGCTCCCGTTTAAGGCTTATGGTATCTGTGCTCATACCTGATCTCTGGCTTGTGGATGGAGGCAGTTTTGAAGCTTGAATTAATCTTGGACTTCTGACTGTGTTCTTCTCTGTTGGATAGAGTTGGCTGGCAGAATCCCTGAGATGATTACGTCGTGTAGTTGACTCTTTGGCCGATTGCTGGCCAACCTTTTCCCTTCTACGATTTGTAGAGTCACTGGTCCTGAGCCAGCTCAAACTGTCAGTTGTACTGGCTGATGAAGCAGGACTACCGGCTCTTTCGACAAGTTTAGCAGGTTTCATAACGACAGCTGCAGTTCTTGATTTCCTTGGTGAACTAGTTCCCTTGTTTCTAGCAGAAAATGCAGTATTAGCTTCTAGGTTTCTCAAATTCGCAAATTTTGAGCTCTTGTCAGGGTTGGTGTTGATTTTCTTCTGTGAATCAAAATTTGAAGCCTGATCTCCTTTTCTGCTCTCCAACATCTGCTTACTCTTCTGCATTGCGTCAAGTATTTGCTTGAGAGCTCTGAGATCCTTTCCTGACCTTTCAAATTCAAGCTGTGCCTGCCTTTCCTCAATTTCACCATAAACTGTGAGTGAGGTGTTCAGGGCTTTTGCGGGACTTTCTTTGCATTTTGAAGCTGGTTTTTTACCCTTATTTAAATCCGGTTGCTTCCATGGTGCTGGTTCAATTGGACACTTACTTGTGATGGGAGTTTTGGCTGAAGCAGGTCTTCTTAAATGGGGTGAGATGGGCTCCTTGTTAGCTTTCCCGGAGGCACTAGAAACCAGATTTTGCTGGTTATCATCAGTTCTTGGTGACTGATCTTTTACATTTAAGCAGGTTTTGATATTCCGGGTTTGATTCCCATTGGTGGTCATGGAGTTTGGCAAAGCATCCAACCCCATCAACTTGGCTACAATGCTAGATGGCCTTCTGTAGCTTTCTGGTTCTTGTGGTTGGTTTTCCATATCATTGGAGTTACCATTCTTCCTGTGCATCTCCCCCGGAGGATTTGATTTCATGGAGTTCTCCCTACTGTCCAACGATAACCTTGGCAATTCTTTAAGCTTTATTTTGATTGTGTCATGTGAGATCCTCTCATCATAAGAAAACCTGGGAGCATCTCTGGGTGTGATAGCAAGACAAGCATCCTTTCTTTCCTTGGAAGTCCTAGGTGCTTCTTGAACCTTTGCAAGAACTCGAAATGATTCATTGTGACTAGGATCTCTGGTCCTGGCAGATCTTGGCGACTGCAAGGGCCTTGGAGAATCTATGTACTTCAAGGTTTTTCGTCCAGACTCCTGCTTGGTTGCTGTTCTAATGGACAACCCACGGGCTTCTCTGTGGATGGAGTCTTTGACCACATCTCGGAGGTCAAGGCATTGGCTTAATGGCAAAGTAACATTTGATCTGTAACGAGAGAAGTTCCAGGTAGGGGTTTCAGGAAAATTGGCGTGGTTCAAAGACAGTTGTGGGGTTTGGAGTGTTATGTTATGATCAGCAGACGATGAGTAACTGGAAGAACAGGAGGAAGTAGAAGAAATTGAGGTTCTGGATGATTCAGTGGAGGCTCTTGGTTTCTCCTTCATGCCCTTCTTCAGATTTTTTACCTGCAGATATAACTTATATTAGCCCACGACACTAATTTTTTTGGTGAATTTCAGAAACGTCAAGATTTAAATTCTTACTGTTTTCTTGTCTGAAGCACTCTTGGGCTCCATGTCATGGCTACCATTTGGACCTACAGAAACACTAAATGTTAGCAGCTGAAAATAGCAACATAGATTGGTTAAGGAAATTCAAGCTTTCAGACTCAGTTGATATAGCTTGGACCTAATGAGATCGAACAGAAAAAACAGGGGAAATCTTGAAGAATTGACAGGCTCAGAGACAATACTGAATTCAACAAGTGACAAACTCAAAGACAAAACTGAATTCAAGAAGTGGGATTAGCAGTAACTGAATTTCGGTCTGTTAGTGCATCGCTGATGACTTGACAGGAGGCTTTTTGCCTGAAACTATGTTTTTCCTAGCTTCCCATTTTCAAAGTGAAGTTTTCTGAAATTTGCTGAATTACACCACTAATTACAATCTTTCTTTCTTGCCTTCCAAGCTTTATAGGAAGAATCTGTAAATTATCTTGAACTACAAAATGCTCGTGATTCAGAAAGTACCTGGTGGAAGCCTCTTGTGGTTTCGACTTATGACTCGTCGGCTGCTAAGGAAATGCTGGAACAGTCCATTTATGCACCCAATCTGCTCCTGGAGATCTCGGTTATCATCTGAAAAGGAATGTAAAAGCTTTGCAGGCATGTCTGCGCCTTTTCTTCAACTAACAGACCAAAGAACTCCAACTTTCTCAGGTTCCCCTCCCTGTTCCTGTCAGTGGTTTCAACATCTACCTGATGACAGAATGAAGGTTTTAGAAACACTCAGATGGCAGAGAATGTGTTACACACCAAAAGCGTTGTTAGAAGAGTTTTGCATTAATCAATCTCGAGGTATTTGTTTTTCTGAGGCTACTACTAATTGCCTATCAAGTTTCTTAATGCTAATGTTCTGTCTTATCAATTTTGATGTGGGGTTTCATGGAATTTTCCGAGCAGCAACTAGCAAGGAAGAATGCAGCAATACATTGAAAGAGACACAATTAGCCCCACATTTGTTTTCTCTTCCCATTTGCAATGGGATGGATGAACCTTTTTTTTCTTGGGTTTCTAAGAAGAAAGCAGACAATATCTTCTGCAAAACCCAAAAGGAACAGAAAAACAAACTAGAATGGACCCAATATTCAGCAGTTACTGCCAACCCCACCTCACCCAATGACCATGAATGAAAAATACTGCAGGGAAGTTTTTTCAGATCCAAGAAGAGATGTTTTTCTGGGTTTCCTCAGAGAACAGAAGAATGCTTTGTCTTTTGGCACTCTCTCAGAAATGCAGCATATAAGAAGGGATATGGTGTACTATATGAAGGCAATGCGTAAATCTGCCAGTGAGATTCTGAGAAATGAGAAGATTTTGAAGTAATGCAAGTGCCTACCTTTTTATGCAATACATGTTATATGTTTTGATCTATACGTCACACACACACGCACACAGAGAGATTTGGAAATTGGAATGTGTGGGAGGGAGAAATTGGGGTGGAGATAAGAATTACCCAGATAAAAGAACAATGGAAGAGGGAGAGAGGTTTGGAGAGGTGGGTCAGATCTGCCATGCTACTCCCATATCGTGAGGACAAAATAATGTGGGCAGGTTTGAAGACTGGACCTCTCTTCCATGAGCATGTGGAGCCTGTCAGAGAATAGTAACAAATAGGAAAGTGGACTTGTGCGTTACTGGAAATTCCATTTTTTCAACCCTTTCTGTCGTTAATTTACCATAATACCCTTGTGTTAGGTTCCTATTTTCTGGATGTTCATCATCTTGTTTGCCACTTGAGATCTTCATGAGACATTTTTATTTGCTGCATCTGTATTGACTTTTTAAGGTGAATTTAAGATCTGTTTTGACACAGCTACTGCTAATAACTAGAACTTTTGGGAATCATGTAAATCTCAATTTAGAGAGTTGTTGGTTAAGCTCCATTTAGAGAGTTGTTGGTTAGTGGAGCTTATAGGCTACAAATATCAAAGGCAAACTGTGATTTTGCATGCAGTTTCCCAGCTGACAGATGCATGACAGGTAGCTGCTAACAACTCTTTTTATTTGATTGTTGGCATTTTCCATATTTAACTGTTTGATTAGTCATTGAAAACTTATGTGTTTAGATGCATCATAGGGATTTAATAACTCAGGATAGCACATACACCTAATAATACTGAAAAAATTAGGGGAAAATTTAAAATGCTATCAATAATCCACCATGTAATATTTTTGTCTATACTCTAACATAAGCTACGAAACTGCCCTATATATATGTCTGGCCTAACTTAGTACAGACGAACATAATTTACTGTGGTCCAATTTACAGGACAGAGCTACTATATTTTTGTTTGAAGACATACTAAAAGTGATCGGACTTATAGTGTTTCCAAAATTCCTAAGAATGGACCAGACATTTCCCGGCATGGACGAGCAATAATGTGAAAGAATTTAATCGCTACAATTTCTTGCCTAGTTGATATCTATTGTTGTTGATGCACAAAATTAGCTAGAGAGGGTTGACTTTAATTGGGAGTTCCATATCAACTTCCCACGCTCGTAAAGATTTAGAGTTAAAATTTATGAAAAATATTTTGGTACTCAAATCAATATAAATTGAATTAATACTCAAATTAGCATAAATTGAGTAGGCATTTTTAGAGAGAAAAATTCTCATTTCTAGCTTACTTTTCAAGATAGAATAAAGGGTTGTAAACTTCTAATATATACTTTGTTTAGTAACATGCTTGAATCATTAAAATAATTGAGATAAGAATGGAAGATAAGAATTATGCAAGAAGAAAGAGAGAGCAATTATATATTATATATCAAGAATGATGGTACATAGGCAATAATTTAATGTGCCATTTCAGTCTCATAATGAATTTGAGATGTACATTTGTTTTTCTTGGTGTAATTTTTGAGATGTACATGTTGGTATTTTAAACTAATGTAATCAAACAGGTTCTTTTTGTACAATGTTATCATCTTCCTGTTAATGGTTAACAAAATTTATTTGGGGGAAAAGTACAAGTACTGCATTTTGACTAGAACTTTAAAACCATAATTTATGTAAGCATCTACCTTCCTGTGTTGACATTACTTGCCATGAGTGCTTGTATTTTAGGTTAGATGTTAGAAACTTGGACGGCAGGGTAGTTCAGTTCCAGTGTACGTATTACCAAATCTGTGAGGGAGACCCCCCTTTCACCAATTGTATGTTTAAGACAGAAATTTACCGCTAGAATTCTAGAATTGTGCTAAAGATACATAATTCAGTCGAACGAAGATCACCATGGAAACCCCTTTGGTCTGCATTATCCTCATAGCGTTATAGTATAATCTGCTTTTCTAATTACGGGATGTTTAGTAAAGAGATTTTATCTAATTAGATGAATAAAAATATTTAAATTATAAATAATAATTATTAGATATTAATTATTTGTTGCATTTTAACAGCTAATCTAAACCTCCTTACATTAG